AATCATGCAGCATCCAGTAATTTTGTCATGCTAATAATAAACTACAAAATAGTGATTAAAAAAGTGATTAAGAGTTTTATACAACCGGCCCCAGATAAATGAATTATAAGTTGAGCCTGGAGTATGTAATTAATTTTTATAGCAAGCGGCAGTTTTAAATACACGGAACAAAACAAGATGACTCAACGGCGTTTTCATAAATGTTGTTGCTGGTTAGGTATAATCAATGTCTATATTAGCGTTTGTTCCTGCATGGTTCGATCTAATAAATGTGCATAAATTTCCACTCGATATAAATTCCAATCTACAAACCCTTCAATAATTATTCAATCGAATGAGAAATATATATATATATATATATATATATATATATATATATATATATATATATATATATATATATATATATATATATATATATATATATATATATATATATATATATATATATATATATATATATATATATATATTATACCTCACAATGAGCTTGTCCAATCAGAGAACTAAATTTGTACCACATGACCATGGTATTTTTCAGCGAATACTATGACCTAGGCAATTTGAACCCTACGTGTTTTACCCGGGGCCATGGTATTCAACTTCGAATACCACGCTTGAGCGGGAAATTCGACTCTTGAAATTAAAAGTAATTAAATTGAATGGTATTTGTTTTCTACTTATTTTTGAAAGGTTCGGTATAATATACCATTTATAGACCTTTCACTCGGGGTATTCCACAAAAAATTACCCTGCGGGATGAAATATTCCTCGGGCTTCGCCCTCGGAATATTTTATCCTTCAGGGTAATTTTTTGGGGAATACCCCTCGTTTCAGGTCTATAACTGATAAATATATATATATATATATATATATATATATATATATATATATATATATATATATATATATATATATATATATATATATATTTCTCAGCACGCTCACTGCTTGCAGTTTGAGCGCTCTGGCATGGTTTTGATGTCCCACATTCGTGAGGCATCAAAGGTAACTGTAAATAGCAGTTACTTTCATCCTGCTCATCAGCACTACACTGATGAGGCCCATAAGGCCGAAACGGTACCGTCTGTAGTTAGATATCGCTCTATGGCCTACATTCAGTTAGGCAAATTATTCATATTGGACCGCCCAGAACGATAAGGGAGTATTTCCAAGAAACTGGTAGAGCAGGCAGAGATGGTAAGTTTTCAAAAGCTATCCTCTATTTCAGTAACAGAGATATTGCCCAGAACAAACCAGGTTTCCAAGAAGTAGTAAGGACAAATGGGAGACAGTAAAAGCGGATGGGCTTGGATAAATTCGCTCTTAGGAAGAAAGCATAAGAATGCAAATATTAATGAACTGAAAGTAAATGATGATATTATTTCTGATGATAAATCTATTACTGAAACATTAAATGAATATTTTATAAATATTGGAATGAAGATGGCTGCTGAATCAGCATGTCAAAGCACTGATGCTTTAAATGATCAAGTAATTTATGAAAGTACTGTGCTTCTTCCTACAGAAAATTTTCACTTCGCAGATATTACTATAGATAGTGTTTCCAAACGCCTACAAAAACTAAATGTCTCAAAAGCGACAGGTATGGATGGAATACCTGCGAATATTTTAAAACTGACATCAACCCTTATTGCTCCATCTATTACTTTTATATTTAACCTATCGATTAGAACTGGTATTTATATAGATGAGTGGAAATTAGCTAGAGTTATACCAATTTACAAATCTGAGGATAAGCGTAAATGCGAAAATTATAGACCAATTTCAATTCTTCCCATAATAAGTAAAATATTTGAAGGGGAAGTTTTTACTCCAAATATATAGCTTTTTGAATAAACATGCGCTTCTGTCTAAATTTCAATCCGGGTTTAGACCAAAACATGGAACCTTAGGTGCTCTTATACAAATGTGTGATCAATGGCTACAAGACATGGATGAAGGCAAAATAAATGGAGTTGTTTTCCTTGATATATGTAAAGCATTTGACTCGGTGAATCACGAGATATTATTGGAGAAGCTTAAAACCCAGTTTGGAATTCACGACATTGAATTAAAATGGTTCCAATCATACTTAAGGAATAGAAAGCAAGTGTGTTCTGTTAATGATCAAACTTCTTCTACAAGAACAATAATATGCGGAATTCCGCAAGGATCCATACTTGGTCCATTATTGTTTTTGCTATATATTAATGATATGCTTGACATTTTAGAAAGGACAACCCCATGTCTTTATGCCGACGACACTCAGATATCTTCTTCTTCGCATGATTACGATACATTGATTGACAATTTGAATATGGACCTTTCCAGTATTCATAAATGGCTTGCTAAAAACAAACTAAAATATCTTAGGAAAAAAACAAAAGTCATGTTTATTGGATCTACGCATAATCTAAATAATAAAATAGGAAATAGACCCGTTGAGATTAACAAAATCCCAGTCCCACAAACCAATACATTTCAATGTCTAGGTGTAAATCTAGATGAAAAATTAAGTTGGGAGAAACATATTGATTCTGTATGCCATAAGATTAGCGCTGGAATAGGAGCAATTAAAAGAATAAAACCTTATGTTCCACACAAAACCTTACATGATGTCTACAAAACATTAATTCAGCCTCATTTTGATTACTGTTCTCCCCTGTGGGATAACTGTGGTTTGGGACTTCAAGACAAATTGCAAAAATTCCAAAATCGAGCAGCAAGGGTGATTACCGGAGCTGACTACGATGTAAGATCGTCTGAAGTCCGAAACAAATTAGGCTGGGAAACCCTGGCTAGGAGACGAGAACAAAACAAGCTAGTATTGATGTATAAAGTCTTGGGGAACCACACTGCGCTAAACCTTAAAGATCTTTTTTCTCGGAGAAATGCATCGCAGAATATTTATGATTTACGCAATAGCGAAACTGATCTCTCGTTAAAAAAACAGAAAACGGAATTTCTAAAGAAAACATTTGGATACAGTGGAGCACTTCTATGGAATAGTCTCCCGCAAGATGTCAAGGCGGCTGAGTCAATTACGTCATTTAAAACAATGGCGAAACTGCATTTAAGCAGATGATAAGCTAATTTCTCCAGGACCAAATGATGGGAGGACAATATAGATTGTGGGCGGGAGGGGGGTTAGTTTTGCATGAGGGTGGGTGGGTACTTGTTTAGGGGGTGGAGGTTTGGGAGGAAGATGATAAAATTTTAGGGTGGGATTCTTACATATTTTGTTCTATATATAATTAACATTTAGCTCTTTGTGTGTATACGCCCTTCGTGGAAACCAGTTGTAAATAATTGTCGAAGTTAGCGTATTGAAATAAAGTTTTACATACATACATACTGCCATTGCAATGATCAGTGCTTGCGATGCTTACTCCTACAGTTTTTGGATGTCAAACTGCCAGTACCTGTTTCACCTGGACATTTATGTTGCAGTGTGTGTAAGAAAAGTTGTGAATGTATCGAGTGCATTTTAGATACTGGTATGTAAGTTATTCAACCATTAAGGCACAATTATTTTGGTTTCCAAATAGGATCAGTTGGTGTTAAAAAATGAGCTTACATTGCACCTTAATGTTTTTATAATTTACATGCCAAATATAAACACAATTCATTTAATGGGAACATCAGAGACAGCACATCAAAAATGTTGCGTTGACATTTTCTTGCAATTGTGCAAACATAATAAATACTTAAATTCAACTTTTATAGATTGGAAATTATATACTCCTGTTATATATATATATATATATATATATATATATATATATATATATATATATATATATATATATATATATATATATATATATATATATATATATACACATATACATATATATAATGTAAAACATTAATGGCAAAATTACACCTTTACAGCAATTTGTTTTAATAAGCTTCCTTGTTTTTACATTTGGTCAATTTTGAATTTGAGCATTAACAAGATCAAATTTAATCCAATTTACTCTTTGTCACAAGGTCATTAAAACACAATGATTATTTTAATGCAGTCAAATTGTTTCATCTTCATCCTCTGAAGAAATGTCTACTGGTCCACGTTTAAGAAGGTTTTTCTTGTGTCGTTTCAACCAGGCATGAAACGGATTATTGTCTAAAGTACTTAATGTGTCTGATGATGCATCTTCAAAACTTTCATGCTGACGATTGTCAACGTGTTCAAATGGTTTTAATTCAATGAGATCATCAATTATGATTTTCTCATCTTTCAGGGACGATTTGTGACTATGATGCGATGATTTGCTCTTTATTCCCAGAGCTACGTCAAGGTTTTTCACAAGTGCCATTGCGCCTCCTGCTGCCCGACTTAACCTTTCTATTGACTTAGGTGATTTATTGGCACCCATTCCTTTTATTCCTTTCTTCAGCTCTCTCATAACTTCTTGCAGAAGATTTATTTCCATATTATGGTCCAGTCCTCCTCTCAGGGTTGCAAGGGAAGCCCGTCTTGTCTGGTGAGCTTGTGCTTCAGTAGGGAAAAAAGATATTGTAACCAGCATCACTCTTGAAATGTTTTAACAATACCTTACGCAATGACGCTAACCGGTCACCATCTCCCATTCTCAAGGCACGTTTGAAATCTTCTAATATGAAGAAAAATCGTACAAGGCAGATGGAGTACTCTCTTACACGATCTGGTTGCTGGTGATCAGGCTCTTCATCAGAATCAGCATCATGTGTAGTTGGCATTAAAAATTCTTCAACAAACTTATTAAGGATTGTATCAAAATATAATTTCTGGTCACCATTGCCTTGTACCACATCATAAGGTGGAATGTTGTGACTTGGGGAGCCATCAAGTGCTGACATGCCAAAATATTGCAAGAAAGCAGCAACCGCATATGCCCGACCAACACTTAGAAACACTTGCTCGCATTCTTCGAAGTGTTTCACATTACGAGTAACATTTCTACGTTGCAATTTCTCCCTAAAGAATCTGAGTGTGCCGGCTGCTCGCCCAGAATTCTTGTAGAGTTTCTTGAAAATTAGCTGGAAAAAACCCCAAAGAAATTATGAAAATTAGAAATGTACATTTGTTGCTCTTTTGCCTACTGTCAGTGAGTAAAAGCCAGTGTTGTAACGAGTCACCTACAGGTCGAGTCACTCAAAGGTCGAGTCACAAGTCGAGTATAGAGTCATTTCAGTTTCTGATCGAGTCGATTCAGCGACTTGAGTTGGGATATAGATTCATGTCTCGCTGTTTATGAGTTAGGTTAGCGGTTAGGGTTAGCATTCACAAATAGCAAACATGAATCTATAACCTTGAGTCGAGTCAGCGGCTTCACTCGAGTCAAGTCACTGGTTTAAAGTCAAGTCGAGTCAAGTGAGTCAATAGCAAGTCCACCCAACGCTTTCTGTAATGGTTCTCTACCCGCTAGCTTGCAGTCTGAAATTAGTAATCAAATTTACCTTTTAGGCTAATCACTTTAGTCATTTAATAACAGTATCTGGGCAGCTAGGCTGTATATCACAGTTCTAGTCAATATTAATTAAGTACGACCACATGAGATGTCTCATCATGCCTGGTGATCGAGTGTACGCACATACAACTAGCAAAACTTGCAATTGGAGTCAGAATTAACAAAGAATAGACTTTAATTAATCACGCTTTGTAAGGCAATTTGAAATTATATAGCACTTCATATTCATACCAAAAATGAAAAGAGCTTGTCAGAATTAGTATAAGTACAAAATATTTTGAGACTCCATTTTAAAAACTGTAGGACTAGCATTGTTTCTAAAAACAGAAATTCAATATTGGCATGTCTGTCAGAAATATATTCTATGCAAATCCCCATATATTTTCTGATAAAGTTTCGAAGTTCTCATTGTTTACAAATTCACAGGGCTCATTGTTCTTCCCAAGCAATACAATGACAATAATTTTGATGAATTTATTCTGTACAAGTTGCAGCTGAGTTACGGCAAAAATGAGCAAGTCGAGTCTGAGTCGAGTCATTTGGGGCTGTTGACTCAAGTCCAGTCATTTTTTGTATTGGACTCGAGTCGCTGAAAATAGTGACTCGAGTCTGAGTCAATGACTCGACTCATTACAACACTGGTAAAAGCTGATGAATAACATTGTCAGAGTTTTGCATTTAAAGGTTATTAATTAAGCAATGAATTGCCTTGTCTCATTATAACAATTCAAATGCAATGCTTGCATTACCTTCAAAAAACTTTTCTTGCAGTGCCGGTCTGCATACCGGCTTTATTGGGTAAATATGACTGATCTGATCCTTTGCAGTATGACAGCCAGCTCGTAAATCTTTGGCTCCAGCTATTCGCACTCGGGTGAGCTGATCACCATAACATGGCATTCCCACCTTTGCTAAGGGATCATTCGGATCAGCAACAGGGTGGACATGTGATAATGGCTGGTCAGGTTGGGAAGTAGATGGTAATGACGGAAGGGTCACATGGTGGGCATTTGAGATATCTTTCTCAGGTGGAATTTTGCCTGCCAGGGCATAAATTTGATGGACGCATTTTCCCAGCTGATCCAACACATCCACAATTTCCGCATACTTCTTTTCATCTTTAAACAGGACAGGGAAGGGCACAACAAGGGACTTTTGTTGCATCTCAACTTTATGTTGCATTGGTACATCAAAATGAGTCACCAAGTCCTTGAGGAATTTAAAGGTTGGGATGTATTCACAAAGAATATGTGCGGCTATTGATTTATAAACTTGCTTTTGAACTGCAATATCACTGTCCGATAACTGGACTAATTTGACAACATCACAGGAAACTAAGGACTGCTGTGGCTCTTCATCTGGCAAGTGACTGGATGAAACACGATCAAACACTATAGATGTTGCTACGGCATGCACACACTCGTTTTGGTTATCTGACCGCATTTCATGAACATGCTCCTCCCAGTCAATGTTGTCAATGACAAAGGAGAATGTTTTTCCATCCTTAACTTCCTCTACGACTTTGTCTAGGAAATGAGCACCAATGTCTTCCTGTAGGTATACTTCATTGTTTTTACCAGACAAAGACCAAAGTTGTTGAATCTCTCATATACCTGCAGTATACATATAAAAAAGGACATACAAAGCTTTAGTAACACAATTAGCCAAAATATTAATTAATGTTGTTAATTTAAAGGTAGGTTACAGTCCCTTCTGCGCATGTCTGTGATTGTGGGGACTCCACCGGAAGTTGGGCATCCCGGTTTATACTCGGTCCAGTCTCATTTCTGGCAATAACATGCGCGTTGTTTTTTCGCAAGCGAAGGAGTGACGCTAGAAGTTTCCAAAATATACTGAGCTTTTTTGTTTCTTTGAGCGACAATCCGTCAAATAACGAGTTTTTGAGGCAACATGACGAGTAGGAAAGAATACCACACTAGCAGGGATGCTTCCAAAGTGTATCAAAGTGTATCTATTTTATTGTTTTCTTCGATGGAGAGCGTGCCATTTCTGTCTGCGTTTCCCCATGATATACTGTACCTACATCCTCAAGCTTCTACTAAAGGTTTTCAAGAAACGAATCCAAGACGAATTGGACATTTCACCCAACATAGCTGCTTTTCATTCCCTTCACTGTGGATCCTTCAGTGAAATCGCTTGTTGAAGCCCATCAATCGACGTTTTAATGACTATAAAATTCTCTTTATTTACAATTTTAAATTTTAATTATACACTATCGTAGTATCGTTACATACGAACTGTTCTATCTCTTTTATTTACAAACTGAAACCCATATAATTAAGGCCTAAAGATATGATACTCATGAGATACTCAATGAAAAAGTGTTAATGAGCAATTTGGAGTCATGTTTTGGATGGCTGTTTATATAGTGTTTATTGTCAGAGTGATAAATGATATAAATTAATCTACTTGTCACTTGACCGTGCTTTACTGTCTTTGACTGTCTTCTCATGGACAACTTCTGCTCACTTAATAGAAATATATAAAAAGTTTCTCTGATCAAAGAATAATTTAATCAAAGTATATTTTAGTCGGCAATGCCGACCTAAATGCCAACCTGTCAACGTCCCAGGTCGGAAAATTTTTGCCGACGTTAATTCAGCAAAAGTAAGAATTTTTTGGTGCTGATAGCTGTTAAAAAGTCAGCGATTATAAAATTTGATTCGTAGTTCGATTAACTAAACACACTTTGGTGTAAGGTTTAAAAGTTGACGTTTACAAATTAAATTAAATTAGCTCAGGTAACCGGGCTGGCTGGCCTCCATATAAACACCGCCTATGACATTTAGTTTATAAAATATTTTGATCACAGAAACTTCTATGATGTAAACAAACTCAACTAATAATTACTAGTATATTAATTTTTTCACCCTAATTGTGACTAAAAGCTTGCATATAAGAACCTAGAATTTAACAACTTGTCAAGTTAATATTTTTATTTAGACACCCAAAATAAGAATTTGTTTAGGCTAGCATTTCAGGTTCTTATTTTACGACATGAAAACAAATCAAATCTAAAAATGTATATAAATGGAAGAAAATAAACTCTTCACAAAGTAATGAAAATGATCCAGAACACTGAAAATGTAATTGAGATCAATAAAGTGTTAGCAGCTTCCAGTTTGCAGAACGTGGCACTAGCGCACCCGAGGGCAATTTCTTGTTGCAATTTTAGCGCACCTAGCCTAAATGTTCCTCGTGCCTTAGCTCCCAGGGTGCACTTGACATGTATAATGATGTAGGTAAGCTATTACAGACCACATGACTTGAAATGGGTTATTACACTGGTACCTCTTCCTCTTATTTTTAAACTCTTGAAACATGATACACTTTGTCCGTATCCTTCTTTTTCTTCATCTTCATCCCTTTCCCCACATATAAGATGAACAAATTCGCTGCATAACTTACATTTGTGTCCTGTTCCTACCTCTTTATCGCAAACTGCA